ACATAAGGTTTCGCTTTGAAATGATCTTGGAAACAATTTAACCCACGGTTTCTTGCAAGAAATATATCCTTGCAACTTAAATCTTTATCTGCATGTGTTGTGTTGCAAAAATATTGAATAATAATCGGGTTTTTGATGGAAATTCCTACCTTCAAAGTTCAAATTGACTGGTTACAGAATCTCCAACTTTTTTGTAATATATTTGATTGTTTAAGCGTGCAAATAACTTTAGTCTTTCTTGGTTAGATTGGTGTAACAATTATGGGCTTGGTGGCTTATTTGTTTGAGCTCATTTTTTGTAATGTTTTGGTGGGCGTTTCTCTTTGCATTTTGCTTGTTTGGTTGTTATGTTTTCGATGTTGGTTTGGGTATTTTGGTTTAGGACAAATGAATGAAATAATAATTTACTTTCAAAAAATTTCTTATTATAGCATTGTACTTTCATTTTTTTCTTATTACAACAATATAATTTGATATTATTTTTTACTAAAATATTGTACTTTAAAAAATCTACCTATTATAGAAATAAGTAAACATCTATATATATAATCGGTTTTTATTTGCTTACATGACATGTTTCCAATTACATGAATTACATGTGTAATTTTGTTGCATGACTTGGAGTAAAAAATCATCCTTTCACAATTACATAGAGTAAAAAAATATATTTGGCCCCTAAACAATAATTTTTTGTTCCTACTCAACCTCCCGTGTTACTTTTGTCATTGCTCTTCTTCGCCCTCCTTCCTTCCTCCCTCTAAGCACCACCAACAAGATTTCCTCCATTGTTTTTGAAGATTTTGTAGCATGGTTCTACCAAACAAGAAATTTACGCAAGGGATATGAGTTCAACTAACCTAGTTCTTGGCGAAATCAGAGTCTCAAGTAATCCAATTCAGTATTGATGACTCACAAATCCACCGGTCCTTATAATCTCGAATTCAGCAACCCAAATTATCCAAAAGGAAAAACAACAGAGAGTAGAATTCTATATCTACAAGAACGTTCAGAGCTTTAAAATCATGAAAATGGTGTTGTATAGAGAGAAAGTGAAGAAGGTAGCAGATAATTGAAAAAGAACAAAAGAGGAGAGAGATGGAGTTGAGATCGATATGGGTGTTTTCTTATCAACTATGAACAACAAATGGAGTTGAAAATCAAAGCGGCATGTTGAAGGATGTGATTACGGAGGGACAGTGAGGGTTTGTGAGCATCCACACCGACATTTCAACACCTTTTCCAATAGAACTGCAAATGGCCACATAAGCAAAGTCTTGCCTGACACTTGCAACATTTGTAATTGTTGCAATGCCATGTAGACCCTTACAAGCTTTTCTGTTACATAAAACAGTTAATAATTAATTAGAATATTATTGTGGAAACAACTTTTAAAGTGTAGTTGAATTGCAGGTGTATATACGGTAATTGCAAAAATTGATGTAGCATAATTGAAAGAATAAACGAATGGTGGGTATGTTGATGGCCTTAGGGAGAGAGGTGCGGCTTCAAACCACCAAGTAGGTTTTTAGTTCGGGTTTTAGGTTTTTTTTCAAGTTTTTAGTTTAGGTTTTTTTTACTTGTATACGAATTGTAAAAAATAAATATATAAAAAATTGTTAAGAAAATGGGCTTCTCACCATGTTTATATATTTATATATAACTAGAACGTACTCGCACAATGCAGCGAGATACATATTTATTTTAATGTTTCGTTTTATTTTTTGTCTTTATTGATATAATACGGTTTATGTAGTAGTTTTGAGAAAAGATAATATTTTTACTTTTGAATAAAAATAAATTTGAAGACATCATAAATTTTTTAAAAAATATATCGATATAATTTATTTAATTCATTTTTTAATTATAATTTAATTTAGGTCAAATAGTGAAGCAATTTATTTTTGGCTTAACTATAAATTTTTTATAAAGATAATGATTCTGTTAGAACTCGATAATTATACTAATTATATTTTAAATTTTTTATATTTTAAAATGAGATGTTTATCCTTTATTTGATTATGTTTATCTGCAGTTAGTTACACGAATTCAAACATGGAGCTTTAGTAAGGTGTACTTATGCATAATTTACTTGAAATATTGAATTTTAAGTAATATGCATCAATATACAGTACTTCATGCATAAAAAATGATTTTTAAGAGTTTTTGTCAAATGTTTTATAATATACTAGAAGGGTACTCGCGCAATGCAGTGAGATACATCTCGATTTTAATATTCTATTTTATTTTTTGTCTCTGTCGATGTTATAATACGATTTTATGTGTTTTTAAAAAAAACAATAATGATTTTATTTTTGAATAAAATATAAATTTGAAGATAACATAAAAATTTGAAAAAAAAATATCAATGTTAATATCAAATCAACTATTTAAAAGTTCTCATTTTTTTAATGTAATTTCTTTGAAAAAAAATTATAATTTAATTTAAGTTTAATAACGAAATAATTTATTTTTGGTTTAATAATATAATTTTATAAAGATAATAATTAAGTATTCTGTTACAATTCAATGATTATTCTAATTATATTTTAGATTTTTTATATTTAAAGTGAGACGTTTATCCTGTATATGATTATGTTTATCTGCAGTTAGTTACACGAATTCAGATATGGAGCTTTAATAAGTTRTACTTACGCACAATCTACTTGCAATCTTGAGTTTTAAGTAATATGCATTAATAAACAGTACTTTACGCATAAAAAATGATTTTTAAGAGTTTTTGTCAAATGCTTTATAATATAGTATAAATATAGATTGTGTGTTTTTAAGAAAGCAATAATGATTTTATTTTTGAATAAAATATAAATTTGAAGATATCATAACAATTTGAAAAAAATATATATATCAATGTTAATATCAAATCAACTATTTAAAAGTTCTCATTTTTTATCTAATTTCTTTAATTTATTTTTTTATAATAATTTAATTTAAGTTTAATAATGAAATATTTTATTTTTGGTTTAATAATATGATATTTTGTGAAGATAATAATTAAGTATTTTTGTTAGAACTCAATGATTATCTTAATTATATTTTAGATTTTTTATATTTAAAATAAGATGTGTATCATGTATTTGATTATGTTTATCTACAGTTAGTTACACGAATTTAGATATGGAACTTTAATAAGTTGTAGTTACGCATAGTCTACTTGTAATCTTGAGTTTTAAGTAAAATGCATTAATAAACAGTACTTTACGCATAAAAAATAGTTTTTATGAAATGCTTTATAATATAGTATAGATATATAGATATAATGTTGTCAATTTTGAAAATATGTTATTACAATAGAAAATTTGTTAAAAAAATATTACATGTTTTATTTTACATGGATACTTATCAGATATGGCATAACAAGTGGTAAGTTGGGCCATGTTATCAACATTTCCATTTACAGGTTACTATTGTGAAAGGTGGTTCCACACATATGTTAATGTTAGTCTTTGCCACTTTGTTGCTTACTAAAAAGTGTTGTTTAAAAGTCGTATTTTTGAAAAAGTAGTAAATAACATTATATATATATATATATATATATATATTGAGTTTATTTGTAGGTTGATTATTGGACTTGTAAAATTCTTGCTAAAACCAAAATTAATCTTTTGAATAAGTATGATAAAAACCAGACATGTTAATATATCGATGAAGTTGATTGATTTTTATAAGAATTTTGATGAATGTCTTTATGAGATAAATGTTCCTTTTGAGTTTAATGAAACGAAAGTAAATGTATCATAAGAACAAATAAAGAAAACTCTCAAATATAACCTGCTTCCACCACTGGAAAGATGTTGTGCGTCCACACACAAAGGAGAAAGTTTGTTAGTGATATCAATGTCATTATATATGTTATTGTAGTTGTAGTTGTAGTTTAGACAAGATCGATGGATTTATTGGTTAAGCTATAATAGAGTTGGGAGGAACAAAGTACACGCTCATATAAGCTATTGTGGACCTAAGAACGTTTAAATCGAGGGTTAAAGGGGTTATGCCCCATTGCAGGGTTCCAAGGGGCAAAGAACCGAATACAAATCAAAGCTATATAACATGATTTGTGCATTTATCCATTTAATTTGACACAATCATGCCTTATAGGTGACATGATCTTGACCAACAAACATCGAAGCACGGATGTTTTTGTTGATTCAGTATTACTAAGACAGATTTTTAACACGAAAAGGGCGTTGTGGACGTCCACATGAGGGCCCTCACAGAAATCTATGGCATGTGTTTTCTCATTTCTCTAGGTTTCATTGTTTTGTGGCACACAAAAATCTGACAGATAAACAAAAATCTAACAAGTACGTTCTTCTAATGTTGTTCTTGCTGATAGTTATACTACAACAATATCGGATTTACAAGATATCAAAAAAAATTCATGCGTCATAATAGACCGCTTTATAATTCAAATAACTGAATGACTTATGTAAAAGTGTTGCAGTAAGTTTATATGACGTTTTTTAAGACACTTTTAAAATAAAACACCATTAGTTTTTATAACACATCTGTTTATAGTACACTTTATTTGTGCAACACTTTTGCAAATAATATCATATAACAAAAGCTTTATGTCAAAAGTATCTTAATTAAAAAACTTGTTAAGACATCCAAAATCGTCTTATAAACTTATTGCTAGGGGTGTTCAAAAGAATCGGAAAAAAACCGATAACGAAAAATCTGGAAATAAAAAAACTGAAAACCGAAAAACCGGGCATTCAAGAGTCGGTTTCGGTTTTGAATTTTAGGTACCTGCAGGTATCATTATATTTAATATTTAATGAAGAGGGTTTGTAAGTTTATATCACCAATTCATGATCTACAATTAAATTGGCCTGATTACACTTTAACTTTAAGAAGAAGAAAAAAACATGATGGATCTGCATATATTTGTAAAAGAATAATAATTTTATCCAGAGAATGTATATATATATATATACATACATATATATATATATACATAAATATATATATATATAGAATGAATCATGAAGGTCTTGAAGAATCCTTTAGCGGCTTTCCTGATAAAAAGTGTTTGACGAGTGCAAGAGCCCTCTTTGGCTGGTAGCTTGGCACCTGGTGCCCTGCCCCTCGAACCGTCGCTAATGTTAGATCTCCTTTATAAACTTGCACAAATCCGCCCGCCTATCGTTTCAATTCGATGTTACTACGTTAACTTTTGATTTCATACAACCAAATCAGCTTTAATAAACAGTAACTATCGCTAAATGATTACTTTTACAAGATTTCACATTGATGCGTCTTACAGTAAGTTGATAGAACGCTTTTAAACGTTCACTACAACAAAATCGGGTTTATAGGACACTCCTAATTTCTAAGCGTCCTAATACACCTCTTTATAAGACTTGGTTTATAGGACCAAAAAAATAAAGCGTCCTAATAGACCTATTTATAAGACTTGGTTTATAGGACCAAAAAAATAAAGCGTCCTAATAGACCTCTTTATAAGACTTGGTTTATAGGACCAAAAAAATAAAGCGTTCTAATAGACCTCTTTATAAGACTTGGTTTATAGGACCAAAAAAATAAAACGTATTATCTAAAGGCGTTGTAATAAGTTTATATGACGTTTTTTGACGTCGTAATAAATTTAAGACACTTTTAATATAAAGTGTCTCATTAGCAACTTTATAAGACACTATTTGAAAAACTGTCCTATAAAAACAAATGTCCTATAAAAAATTGATTTTATAGGACACTTTTTCAAAAGTGTCATATAAAGTTGCTAATGCGACACTTTGTATTAAAAATGTTCTAAAAAACTTGTTAAGACGCCCAAAAGCGTCATATAAACTTATTACAACACCTTTAGATAGAACGCTTTATATTTTGGTCATATAAATTAAGTTCTATAAAGCGGTCTATTGGGACGCTTAGAGATTGGAGGTGTCCTATCAACACATATTTTTATATGACACTTTTTCAAAAATTATCATTTAAAAAGTCTAATAAGATGTGTTGTTTAAAAAGTGTCTTAAAAAGTCATTGGATGAATTTAAATTGTAACTCATATGATAGCAGTTAAATGAGTGTTATGTAGTTATACCTCCCCTTGATGAATCCATGGATGCCATTTAGTCTTTATAGGAAGCTTCATGGAACTAATGGAGTATTTGGTTGAAGTAACTGGCACCCTTGCATCTGTATCTCCACTGCAATTCATGCAAAACAAATCATTCATATTCCAACATCAAACTCCAAACACACCCACAAATGTCAAATGACAGGAACATTTGTCGCTAAAGTATTGGTTTACTCGTCAATACTTTTAGCGCCAGATATTTCCATCACTAGTTTGTGGCTGTGATTCGAGTTTGATCTTACTATTCCAATTCTAGTAACTAATAGAGTGTTGTTTGTTTCGTTACCTGAATATCCAAACCCGAAGTTTATACTTCATGAATTCCTTTAGGAGCGGAATGACAGTTGCAGCGCTATCATGCCAACCTTTGAGGATTTCACTGCATGATTTCGACACCATTTTTTTGTATCGCATTTAGATACATAACAGATTTAGCGATACTTAACTTGCGACAGGTTTCTCTGTCGCCAATGAGATAATTAAGTGAACTCACCTGCATGGTTCCCAATCATGATCGAGTTTGGTGACGTTGGCATGTAGAGCATCTTGAACATCTCGACGATTCATATAAGCGTACGTGTAGTAGTCGCTACACGGATCGATATTTTGCCACTATACATACACCAAAGAAATCCCGAAGGTAAGAGAATTGTGATGTATAAATCTATGTGTATCGAGACAGTTCGCAACCAGAAACTATTTAGTTGCAAAATGATGGTCGCAAAAAAAACCAAATGTAAAAAACCAATGGTTTTTAACTATTTTGCGACGCCTTTCGTTGTTGCTAAAAAACTTGTTTTTAATTAAAATCCGTACCGACATTTTCTTGGGTTTGATAGTGAGGTTGCCATCGAAGCATAAAGGCGCATAGATGTTGTAGATATCAAGAACTTCAATGTTGTAATCGGCATCCGTTGTGGCATCAATGCATTTATCTGGTTGTGTTAGTGCGTCCGCTGAAAAGTTACAGTATTTACGAATGTCGTAAGAAGTTTCATCTGAAATCAGAGCATGCGAACCAAAGTAATCATACATCCCCATCGTGTCTGTCTCATCGTTGATCACCGCGTTTCCAATCTGCAAATATAGATTCATAACATTTGCAAATCAATACCGGCACCTACATTATTAACCCATGTAACTCATAATGACGAATGTTATAATTGTTTCAAGCATCGACAGAACCAGAAGCGTCCCATGTCGCATATAAAATTACCGACGGATCCGAGTTAACGATGCAAAAGGGACAACTCCTCTATTTTCATCAAGAATTTAAAAGCATACCCGAAATAACCCCTAATTTTGGCTATCGTAACAAGTTTCGAATACTTATAATCTCATATAAGTTAGAAAAGGACCACCGGATTAATTTGTATATTGTGTAAGAACCTCATATATCTCGTTACAATCAGATCAACTTTAATTTATATGACGTCAAATGTGTTTAAATATTCTAATAGACTGTTTTATAAGATTCAAGTTTATATGACTAAAGAATTGTAACAAGTCTTTTGGAAATGAGTTGCAATAAGTACGTTGATAGAATGTTTTTGGGTGTCGTAGCTAACAAGCTATTTACAAGAGACTTTTCTTACAAATATCGTTTTATAGAACACTTTTTTCAGATAATGAAATATAAAAAATACTAGTATGACTATTTATTTTAAATTATTGTAACACCTTTAAAGCGACCAGGGGCGGAACACAAGCTTTCCAACCGTAGGGGCCGGACCTGATATATTTTTCAAAATACACTATCCAAAGTTAAAACGTAGTAAAACTCTAAAACTAGACATCAAATATGAAAATGTCAAACATCGCTAATCAAATGCCTCCAACATTTCAAGAAAAATTTCCCCCCGTTAATGGAATCTAACTTTTCGTTGTGGCCTCTAAATGCAACTGCTTGAAAGGCTCATTGGCTCAAGTAATAACATTTTAAACCCAATCAAAGTATCAAACAATTTCAAACAAATTTGAACCTAATCATTAATCAAACAATTTTTAAACAATAACATCTTAAAACTTGAATAGAAATATAGAATGAAAATCCCCTGTGATTTAGGGGCTGTAATCGGAGGTCGAGACTCAACTCACCTGAGAGTGGTCAAGCGGGGAGGGATGATAGATCAACAGGTTTGTAATTTCAATAATGGAGATTGAAGATTGTAATTTGTTCATAAGTTGCTCGTATAAGTCTGTCGGCCGATATGGTCATGTGGGCATGAGGAGATGAAGAATCAACAACTTTAGACTTTATTGGACTACGAACTATAACTTTAGGGATTAAAAAAATTGGGCTGGATTAAAAGATTAGTGGACTCCAGTGGAGTGGCTAGATTAAAACAACTAAAAGCCATATATATATACACACACACTTATTGAATCAAAAAAGCCCTGGGGACATGACCCCCTAAAGGCCTATATGACCTTCCACCTCTGAAAGCGACGCATAATATTTTGTCATATAACTTGAATTAAGTACTATAAATCAGTTTATTAGGTCATTTAAACATATTTGATGTCCTATAAAACCGATTTTACAGTATCGCCTCTATAAGGATTCATTATAGATATTCAAACAAGTTTTCAAGCATCCTAACATTGTATCGGTTAGGTTTATCATCTTTAGGGACTTGATACACTCTTTCGCCTCTATTATCGACAATCAAACCTGTAAATATTTAGGAGCCTTTAATTTCCTCTTTCTATACAAACTTTAATAAAAAGGATTCACATATTGAATTTAACACTTAAAACAAACATGGAAACAAATAGTTGTGCAATAATTGTAGCATATAATGATGGTGAATGTAGATATGTATGGAGTTTGTTGTTTTGTGCCTTTATGAATAGTGTCTAGCCATATAAGCATATGACCACATAACATGCACCCTGGTCCCTACCCAAAACTGTCATTTGGAACCATATAGTAGGTGCACCAATGGTCTACCTACAATCTAGTGGTTGTACTTGAATGTTCCAAAGGACAAAAAAGAAATGTAAAATACACTTTTTTTTTATTATGTATTTTTATCCGTAAGATTTTGACTTTTGTTTCTAAAGTTTTAAAATTGTCTAGTTATTATCGCAAATATCTTGAATGGCCTTGTAATAACGACAAAATAAGAAAAATGTACTTACGAGGATTCCTTTGAGGTTGATTAGGGTTTTGTTGGCGATTATGTTGTGGTAGATAATGGTGTGGGCGAGTTGAGGCACGTAATGTCCTGCGTAACTCTCTCCAGAAAGGTAAAGGTCCCTCCCTTTATACTCTGGAAATCGCTCGAGCCAATTCAATAAAAACACGTAATTATCTGCAGCCGTTGATTTGTCTCCCCCGTTCTTGTAGTCGGAAGAGGTGTTAGAGTATGAAAACCCTACCCCGGCCGGTGACTCCAAAAACAAAACGTTTGCAGCTGCATATTTCCCAAAACCCAATTCGACGTTAACATTAATTTGCAAATGGAAATTAACTCATTATTCAGCTGAGATATGTCTTATTACCTCGATTCCAAGAAAACTTGTTTCGGTAAAGAGTTTTTCCGTCACTATTGACTCGGAACGGTCCGAGCTCCTGCATTGCTCCATAGGCAAGGGACGAACAACCCGGCCCTGAATAATACGTGGCATTAGTACTAGTTAACAATAATATAACATGTATGTATAGTATAGTATCGTATGCTGTATGTATGCACATGAGCAGGGGTGAAGATGGGTATGATATAACATGTATGTATAGTATTGTATGATGTATGTATGCACATGAGCAGGGGTGAA